ATTATAGATATATATGCAGAAAATTAAAATATATATATGTATATATATATGCAGAAGTTAAGTATTATATATGTATATATATGTATATTAAGGATGTATATATGTATATATGAAGTAGAAAAATAAGAAAGAACAGTAGCGGTTGACCGCCACTGCATAAAGAAGAAAGTCTAGCAGTTATGCAACCGCTCCGGCTGTCGAGTATGTAACGACTGTAAATTTTTCGCCATTACTATAGAATTTATTAAGCAACCGTTACAGGCTGCATGAGGAATAAGAAGAAAAAAAAAAGAAAAGGGTTTTGGGTTGTTGGGTTTTATTCCTGTGTTTTAAATTAAGTTTTATGAACTTGTTCACAAGAAGAGAAGAAAATGAAGAAAAGAAAGAAAAAGAAGAAAAGGAGGAAAAAGGGAGAGGCCCATTCAGTTAGGCCAAAACCCATACGGGTTTGAGCTGCGCCAACCCGGTCCAAACTCGACGAGTGTTGACCTGACCCGATTAACTGTCAGTTTTTGAAAAAAAAAAAATTTTAAAGGTATTTTTGGTCATTTTATGGTTGATTTTCTTCTTAATTCAGTTTTAATTTTAAATTTTAATATTAGTGTGTGCATATACATATTGAAATAAATTAATTTACACAACATGTCACCAAAGTGACATCTCTTATAGATAATTTATTTATTTCATAATGTAAATAATTGTATGAGTGTAATTTATGTGAATTTTAATCGGCCCAAAGGAACGTTAATATTTAATATTATTACGTTATATTTTTGTAGTAATGAATACGTGACAGTTATTCAATATAAAATGTGAACTTTAAATCGGCCCAAAGAATGATTTATTATCTGATGTGTTTCTACTGTTTGTATTTAATTACTGTTACATAATACTATTTACAAGTTAATATTATGTATAAAAATAGAGTGTTAATAGAGTATTCAATATCTTGGTATGAAAATATACCTTTATTTAAAATTCATTATTAAATTTTGTTATTTAAAATTTTATGTGAGTAGTAATTCATTTACTTTTTTATATGTTTTCTGTTCAGTTTCATTTTCTACTAGAAGTATTACAACGAATGTTAATTCAATCCCAATGTTGAACGACACAAATTTCAAGTAATAGAAGAATAGTGTTCGACTTGTGTTTGGAGTTATGGATCTGGATTGTGCTTTACGGGTTGATCAACCTGATCCGATTACTCCTGACAGTATCCCTAATGAAAAGAAGGAGTTTGAAAGATGAGATTGGTCAAATCGTATTAGTATGTTGGTTATAGAATAAGTCATTCTAAAGGTTTTTTGGGGTACTATGTCCGATGAGATCATAACAACTAGAGATTTCCTTCATTCTCTAGAACAACGTTTCTCCAGAAGTGATAAAGCCGAGACATGTACACTTCTGTCGACTCTTGTTTTCATGAGATATAAGAGAAATGGAAACATCAGATAGCACATAATGGAGATATCACATATGTATATAAAACTCAAGGTATTAAGAATAGAATTGTCAGAAGAAGTACTTATGTACTTTGTTTTGATTTCTCTTCCATCACAGTTCAATTATTTTAAGGTGACATATAACTGTTAGAAAGAATCCTGAAATCTGAATGAGTTCATTTCACATTGTATTCAGGAGGAGAGAAGGCTCAAGTATGAGAGGGCAAAGAGTGCTCAGTTCCTAGTAATCTCAAAAGATAAGAAGAACAAGAACAAGAAAAAGAAAATAGGTAAATCTGTTACGGTTTCAGTACAATAAAAAAAATAATAGAAGGTTTATACCGAAAATATTTGTTTCTTCTGTAAAGCTCGGGGACACCAGAAGAAGCAATGCGTTAACTATCATGTATGGCGCGTAAAGAAATGTATACTTTTTAATTTTATTTGTTTTAAGGTTAATTTAACTTTTGTATCAACACACACCTGGTGGATAGATTTTGATGCCACAACTTACATCATTATGTCTATCTAGGGTTACCTCCATTACTGCAAGCCAAATGATGGTGCCAGATTCATTTATGTGGGTAACAAACCAGTTGAAGTAGAAGCAATTGACAACTTTAAATTGTTGTTAAAGATTGCATTTTATTTTTGTATTGAACACATTTGGTTATTCATATTAATTTAGAAATAAAAAATTTAGTCTATTTCTTAATTCAAATATGGTTGGTTCTATTTTTTGTATATGTGCATGATAATTTTTATTTGCTTAATACAATTACTTCTTATAATGAATCCCTGCATGTTGGTAAAAGAGGTATAAAGAGAAAATTAACCAATGAGAATTTCGCTTCATTATGGAATAAGAGATTACGTTACATCTTTTAAAGGAGAATTGAGAGACTTATGTAAGATGGAATTCTAGATCCCCTTGATTTTACAGATTTTGATAGATGTGTCCATTGTATTAAGGGGAAACAGACAAACATTAAGAGATTAAGTACCAACAGAGCTATGGACGTATTAGAACTCA